CTGAAAATGTCGTCTTCACAAAAATCAAAAACTGTCCCTGATTTAAATTTGGCCAATCAGTGCTCATAGGTCATGTCATTGTGTGCTTCAAACTTGCACTTGTACACAGAAAGTATTTAAACTGTTAATCTGTTTTAAGCTGGCCTTTTCAAGTCAAGGACCTTCACTGGTGATGAGAGCTGGATCTCAAACTCCAATCCAGAGACCAAACAACAGTTTTCAGCTCAAGCATCCAAGCTTGAAAGCAACGGTCAGGTGACCAGTAACGTGTTTGTTTTTCCAGCGTTCACAGGGTTTTGCTGTGAAACTTGATGTTCAGACTGTCAATGCAGTGTTCTGCTTTAACAAACTGAACTATGGTGTGTATCTACCATAGTGTTTTGGCACAGTGGATGGAAAATGCAGGCCATTACTGGTCACACAAACACAGTCGTTGCTCATCAACCACTTGTTCCAAGATTTATCTCCTGTATTACTGTATTCACATGGGTAATACATATTACCCATGTGAATACAGTAATAGGGACAACTTTGATCAGAACAGACCAATAGTGACTAATTCCAGGGAGCAATCCAAAATTACATTTCTGTTGGGGCCAAACAAAAAGGCCTATAATCCTTTATGGAGTTGGAGGCCTTTGTTATCACGCCTTGAATTATAGCTATTTTTCACTATTGTCTGTCATTTTCTAGATGAGATTTCAGAGTACTACTGAGCATTGGATTGGTTTGTCATTACTGGTACCATCCAGTGTTTACTTGGTGGCAAGGTTCCCTTCTAGGATCCCCCGCCCCCCACCCCTTTGCATGTACTACACAGAAAGCAGAAGGCGGGAACCGCAGTAGCAACAACCGATTTTAGAATACCACTGAGCTTTGGATTGATTTTTCCTAGAAAGAAGTGTGTGTCGAGATTGTTCGTGGTTGTTAGTATTACTAACAGTAATTGGGCATCGAAGTCATCAAACTTTGTCCAGTAGTTAATGAGATACTTCACACTGGCTAAAAATATATTATTACATATTTCCCTTTTGTCTATTTCCCCTCTTATTTGTGTCTTCCATGTGTTTGTGTAGCTGTAAACACAAGCTGTATGCAGAGAAGCTGCCCAACACCACAATCATCATCCCGTTCCACAACGAGGGCTGGTCGTCGCTGCTCAGGACGGTTCACAGCGTGCTGAATCGCTCTCCCCCACAGCTCATAGCCGAGATCATCCTGGTCGACGACTTCAGCGACAAAGGTACACAGCGCACACACGCTCATCACTACTGAGGAGAAAACACCTGCGTTTGTGTACATACGCACAGTCTGTGTGGCTTGCTGCAGTTAACTGAACTTTAGGTGAACTATTTCTGCTGTTCTGTCCTCCCCTGCTCCTTTCCATGCACAAACACAAACCACTGAATCATTTGTTTGCTAGTAATGTTGACTGTTGCACAAATACCGAGCTGCTCAGAAGTAAACGTGGCGGCCAGCTTCTGCGGAGGCCCGAAAGTGATCCCAAGACACTCATGCGTATGTATATTATAAACAGACCGGGAGAGAAATGGAGACACTCTCTCTCATAGTGGTGAGTCAGGATTTCAGAAATGTATCTCACTGGGCCTGTCGGCCATTTCTTAACAAGACTAGAGTCTTGTTGCTGAGAGCCTTGCCTAAATTCACTTCTGAGCATTTGGTTGGTTGTTCTTGCCAGTATGGTCAGTAAAAGTACAATAAAATAAGAAACATAATGCATACTGCAAAGATCTTATTTGCAACCCATTCAGTATAATTCCAAGAATATTATTTCTATCTGCAGTAGTAATACTTGGGGTCAAGGCTGTTTTCTAGGTCCTTCCTATTAAGCTGGGCCATATCATACCGTTCATGGTATAATGTTGGGCAACGATAAGAAAATGAAATATCGCGCTAGAATATGGGTAAAACGCACATGCGCAGTGCCTATGTTTTCATATGCACATAGCGGCGACGGAGAATGAGAAGAGCGAAAGCGGACTGGTTTGTAAAAATGCTGCAACTTCAGTGGTGTGGAACTGGTTTCGTCCGTCAGATACACAACAAAACACTATCTTTGGTAGAGCATGCTAGCGGGCCGTCGTTATTACTGTTTTTTGGAAAATACGTCGCACTTAAAATCAATCCTTTGATTTTTCTGAAAATCAACAGAGCCCCTTATAATCCCGTGTGCCTTATGTATGAATTCTGGTTGTGTTTACTGACCTCGAAACGATTTTATGTACACGGCGCTCGAAAATCTGTCAAATGTTTCAGTACGACTTTGCTAAGCTACGAAGCCGCACCGCTTGATGGATTGTCGGAGCATTATGGCTATCGTAGGCAGGAGCCTCGCGGAGTGATACGTACTGTGCTTCAACATAATGTTACTGTATTGTGTGTGTATAACCTCTTTTTAAGTTTTGTGGATATTATACATGGTTATGCTTGTGCGAATGGGTGTGAATGGGTGAATGCACAAGTTGTGTAAAGCGCTTTGAGTGCTCAGAAGAGTGGAAAAGCGCTATATAAGAACTAGTCCATTTACCATTTATGCTGAGGATGTGTCGGCCAGTTTCCACTGGAAATGCCTTTTAGTTAAACTGTCACCAAGGAATTTGCATTTGCACTGTTAAATTTTTATATAACTTTAATGCAGATAAAAAACAGCTGCTTGTTTAAGTGAAAATGCATTGATGTTTTTTTTCCCCCTAATAAAGTTGTGGAGTTGTAAAGTATTTTGTCTAGTGTCAATTATATTGTCAGTTATATCGTTATCACAAATTTTCAAATGTAAATCATGATAAATATTTTTGGTCATATCGTCCTGCTCTACTTCCTATCCTCGTTTCAACTTACTTTACGCAGGCAGCTGTAGCAAAAACCCAACACAGACCACTTAGAACAGCTATGATACTGAATAAGGCAGAAACAGCAGGAAAGGGACAGCTGGGTTTCAAAGAGGCTTGCAGTGGCGCAGCAACTTAGAGGAGTTGGTGTGGTTCAGCTAATTTGGTGGTGGCCCAAACTAATATTACACTTGGTTATATTAAATGCAAGTCCTAACCAAGCTCTATGTGCGAGCTCGTAACATCAGCTGAGCTTTTTTTGTATCATTGTAATAATGCCAGGGCAAATGTTTAGCTTAAGCAGCTAATGTTTGTCATGGCTGTTTGTGTATTTTCCTTCTAAAATCGACACTGTGGGTTAGTTTTCAAAGCAAAGCCTAAAGCTTCCCTGTCTGCATAAAAAGAATTTATATTGTTAATATGTTCGGAGCTGCTGCCTGCAGCCGTCTCTGAACAGATGCTGATGATGAGGGGGTTCTGTGGCCCGGCTAGTGTTAGCGAGGTTAGCAGCAGAATAATCTACTTTCTGGTGTGAACCGGTATTCTCACACAGACAGCTTAATCAGTTTGAACTCTGGAATTAATGTACAGCTTTGAACCCTTACATAATAAATCGGGGGGACAAGTGCAATGTTATCAGCAAGGCCTCGATGGAGGTGAGAACACGATATTAATCACGAAGCCTGCTGCAAAGCCACCGTGTGATGCATAATTTCAGGTTCACTTTTCCAGCTCCTTAGATATTAAATAATTTATGGAGAAAAAAGAAGAAGAAGAAACTGGCATGAAGGAGGATTTTTACTCGACTTTCAGAGGTGAACTGCTCTTGTCGGTTGTTAAGGAGACAGGTAACCGCTCACATTTGATCAAACCCTGTCACTTTCTTTCAGGCTGATTAACAATCTCCGTGCTCCATGGCAGCAGGCTAGCCCGCAGAGTTACTGATGGCCTGTTATATTAATTGGCGCTGTTTTGTTTTGGTGCCTCACTGCTGACATGAGGAAGATAAACAATTGATGAGATGTTTTTGTCAGTGCAGTTATATTTTCTGAGGTGCTAATTAGTACCAGGTTTATATGTTGTGTAATTATAGCCTTGTTGCAGAGCGGCGTTTCAGGAACAGCCTCTTCTCTCCTTTTAATATCATAATTAATGCAACTATTCCTGTTTGACTTAGAGGATACCTGATGATTTATATTATCTCTGTGCTTGCTGTGCTCAGCTTTGTGTTGTATTGACGCAACAGAACTTTTCTCTTTGGGTTCAGGAAAGTTTTAAGTGGATTGTGAACTTCTGCTCATTTCAAGCTAATTTAACTTCTTGTGATGTTATTTTTAGATGTTAAAAGTGTAAGAATCTAAAAATAGATTAAATTAAATGTGAAATTAGAGTACTGTTGTTCCCAGTTTACATAAATTGCAATTTTGTAATGTGCGTGTAGGTGTGTGTCAGCTTCAGATCAGTTCTTGTGCTCAAAAGTTAGAATTCAAAAGACTATTATTGGAACCGAACATCATGTTTAATGAATATGCAGATGAAAGATGTAGCTCTAAAGTTATATACTCGATTAAATCCTCCCCTGAAAATCATTTTCTTGCATCTTTTGAAGATAACATTGTTTATTTAAGTTTAATGTGTTGCTATAGATTTTCACTTTCTTTGGTCAACCAAAAAGGAAAGGGAAGCGGTTGCTGGAGCTGTACGTGGAAGTCATCATTATTGTAAATACTAAGAGGGGAGTTTTGGGTAGGAGATTTTCTTTTTTTTTTTCTTTTTTTTCTAATGCATTATTTTAAAAAATGGGACCAGACATTGACTTAAGATACTTAAAAACAAGTCGAATTAGTACAAGCACTGTGACAGGTTAGTGAGAGTGAGGGTTATTGCTTTGTAACAGAAGGCCGCAAAAGGAGGTGGGAAAGAAGGATGATGAAAGTTGAGGGGGAAAAAAGGCACTGGGAAGAGATACTGGGTGGTAGCATCAGAGAATCCTAAATAATGTAGATGTCCAATGAATAATGCCAAATTATTGTTTCTTAATTCATCAGCTGTTTTGAATTTGTGTGGTAATGCATGTATTGTGAAAAGAATAGATACATTTACATATTTGACTTTGGTTTGGTTGAAGCTTTAAAACATTCAGGTCACTCAGTACTCCAAATCATTATTATTGCAGCTGGTCCACCACTGTAATTCTGCCTCCTAGATGACAAATAAACAAGCACGTTTTTGTTTTGTGATTCTGAGAAACTGACAAATTAAATCTGTCTCATGCAGTGTTGTAAAGTTTCAAAATCCACTCTTTCCTTGTGCTTCTTCTAATTTGAGGGTTTGAACTTCTTCACTCCAGCTATGGAAGAACTGTGAAATCTAATACAAGCTTATTGTAGGTTATTTCTTTTCTTTTTTTTTTTGAGTGACTCAGTCAGTTATACTTTTTTGTATATTGACTGATTGCAAAGCACAGCCTGCCTCCTAACACAAAGAACAAAGCCACACAGAATAATTGACTGTGGCTGCTGAGCATTCACACCTATAGATGATTTCAGGAATACCTTAATGGGTTCTGATGCCTAGTAGTATTTAGTTGAAAAAGACTTGAATATCCACAAGTAATCTGAAGAGAAATAAATCAGTGTCATTATAAAATCAAGCCCAGAGGACGATCAATGATGAGACCTAGAAGTGTGACAATAATGTGGCTTTATAGTGTGAATTATCTAACTGAGTATTGCAAAGGTTGTTGTGATGACTCATGCCTATGACCACACAAAGGTCACTGTTGTTTTTGCAGTACCATATGGCATTTCCAGGTGTCAACATTTTATTAAAAAAAAAAAAAAGAGAGAGAAAAAAAAAGCAGACTTTATTTACCCTCTAATATGTTAAAGAAGTTTTATTCTGAGCATATTATCGTAAAATATTCAAATAAAATTGAAGGAAGAAACTGGGTAAATGGAAATGTGCATAATTTCTGATGATTTGGTAAGATTTTATTTTTATAATTTCTTACTGTTAAAAAAAAAAAAAAGTTAGACTAGACTCTGTATTGTCATCATACATATACAACCAAATTGTGGAATATTAAATACAGTCTTTGTAGTATCTTCAGTTCTCAACTGTGTTCAATCCAGGATCATTCATGAATTTTAACCATGTGAGGATAATGTCATAGGAATACCAAAAACAGAAAAAACACTTATTACATTACATTTTTGTAATACCATTTACAGGTGTGGATTCAAACGGTAAACTTTTAGATTTTTGTATGTTAAAGCAATTAATAACTTCATAAGTGAGTTATGCCACTACTGGGCAAGTAAAGTACTGTAATGTACATAAACAACGTCTTCGTATATAGAAAATAATGTCGTATAATATAGAATGAATGGTT